GAATTTGCACGCTTTGGATGAGAATGCCAGCACCTTATTCACCTTTGAGACAATCGAGTCTGCCTGATTGGCAAAGGTCAGTTTGGCATTCAACAGAACGCCAAGGTCGCGAATCAGCTGGCAGCTACATAAGCAGTGACCGCCTAGTGCGTATGAGTAGTGAACAGCTGACGTGCGGAGGATGGATGGGATGGCGTTGCTGGGATCAATTTCAGTCCCCAGTTTTTGAGCCATTCACATGGGTGATCCCAATCCCCCCGGCGTGTGAGACAAGCTGCTACATTGTTGATTCGGTGATAAATTTTCATATCAGCAGCGTACATGAGGCACTTACTCTCAATCTGGCTAGTAACATCACCCAGAACGCAGGCGAACAGCAACCGTCCCAGGATGCTGCTTCCGCGACACCAGATGGCACTGGAAACCAGTCAGACTGTTCACCGTTCAGCACTATGCGTCGTGAAGAATCGCTCAAGTACTCCTGTACGCGCGGCCAGTGATGCATGAAGAGGCGAAGCTTGTGAAGCAGAAGAAAGTGATAGACGCTGATGAGTACTGAAGAGAAATCGGTTTGAACTGCATCTGTTTGTTTACCTTTTGAGATAGATGTCCAGCAGTGTTCAAGAGGACATGGAAAGTTTGCAATGCAGAAACGCTTTGGACGGATTCCGTGATGGGATGAGGCTAGGGCTGGCAGACAAGCCTGTAATAGGCTCTCGCTCACAATTTCCTCTCGTGTTTTAAACAGATAGGAATCAGAAACCACAGCCTGTAATTTTTCAGGCAGCTTTTTGAACCCCTACTTGTGCACCGGTATCACATTCGCTTGCTTCCACATGGCGGGGAAGATGCCACGGCTTGGAGAAAGCTGGTATATCATTTTAAACGGCCCTGAGAATCCGGGCACTGAGCCCGTTGGGACTGCAGGCCTTGTGCGCTACGAGATCTCTTGACATTTGGGGTATACCGCCATGCGGCATGCGGTAAAGCTACCTAAGCCAGGCCCATGGAGCAACGGTGTGCTTGGCTTAGGGTCACAGAACACGAACACGAACCTTAGGGTCACAGAACTTACGAGGAAAATATATATTCAGACAGCTGGCACGCTCCTCATCGCGCTTGTACGCATGACCATCGCACTCAAGGACGGGAGATATGTGCACTGATGACTCCGAGCACTTAACAAAGGACCAATGACCCTTTGGGTTGCCCTTTGTGTCTCGCACTAGACCCAACAAGTACTCGCGATATTTAGCGTCAGCAGTAGTTTTGAAGCCCACTCTATTAATGCTGTGTCTAGTAATCTTTTCGGTCTTCGAACTTGCTTTCTTACGTCGGTGAGCCATCTCCCTTTCACGCAGCGCGTCTCAAACGAGACGGTCAAACCATGCAGGAAATTTCTTTCGGAGCTTAACAGCAAGTACGAAGTCTGCAGTGGTGGTGAACACGAGATGATAAAACAGGCGGACAGCATTATCGACAGTTAAATAATTTATAATATACCAAGGAATAAGCCCGAGAGCAGTGCACGGCCGTTAAAGTCTGTCCGTTTGTAGTTGTAAGCCTTAGATCGGGAAGCGCGGGGCCGGTCCACATCTTATAAAAAACTGTGTCGTCACCAAACGGTGGTGAATTGATTATACCGTCGCAGGTCTCAGATACGGCACCTCCGCCATAGGAGATAGCGAAGTCCAGGATGCTCTACACGCGCCCTGACGACGCTACAGATTGTACAGCTGCGCTACCAGCGACAGAGTCTAGGAATTTGACGGCTCTTACGGCGCGCCCGAGAAGAACAGTTTCGTCGCCATTACCCGGCCACTAAATCTCAGGCAAGTTTAAGATAGTGTTCCATATTTGTATGAGGTTTTGGTCCGAAAAAGCCATCTTGAAGATCACGCGGTGCAGTTAACAACCCTGCCCTTTTTAAGACCTAAAATCCTCCAGTTTCTGAGCTAGACGCTCGGGAAGATGTGCAGGCTATTGCGGAGACTATTTCAAGGTAACTCAGGTATCCGTGACGTCATAATAACGTCATTCAAATACTGCTATTCCACTAGCTATGCGGCAATCAAGACCAATGAAAATACATAACAGTCGAGCGCTTATATCTGGTGTTCGTGAGTACAACTTCCAGATTTAACTATCGTCAATGGGCGCTCAGTCAATGTTGTGCAGGGTGCGATGACAACAACAGACAATGCCGCATAAAAACATATTTACTGGACGGAGAAATTGTGTTGTCTAGTGCGGTTTTTTCCACTTAAAAGTATACTTCTAGTTATACGTGAGCTGATATCATCATATCTGATTCTCGCTTCCATATCTTCAAATGTAGAACATTACCTTCGATGAGAAACGGTAGATTAGAGGAGCGGATATTCCAGAAGAAGACAGCAATCGAATCTACGTCACGGTCAACATCGGCAAACCGTAGCAGACTGCCATGATGACAAGGTAGATGGTCGCCACTGGATCACCAGCACCTCGCAGTCGGTCTCCAGGTCTGGTCGGGGAACAGGGGACAGGCTTGTCTTCACTGCATAAACAACGCCCCCCCCCCCCCCCTCTGCCTTTCCATACATGGTCCGAGTGGTTCAGACGCAGCTCAGAGACCAGCACGTGGGATCCGGAACATGTCCCGGTCAGGCCGACAACAACAAAGCCAGCCAGCCCCCCGCCATGCGAGCACAGAGTGCATAACTTGTTCTTCAAACTGCAGACGCTCTGGCAACGCACTCGCAGCGTTCTTAGCCAGTGTGCCCTAGCCAGCCCTGGGCACGCTCCTATATCTCCGGAGAGCAGGACAGTCGCCAGAAGCCGGCGGCACCCGGCAGGTTTAATGGGCCTCGTCGATGTTGCAGAACAGACGGAAACAGACCCCTCAGTCCGAGCTTTGGCACAGAGACAGCGGTGCCCGCAGCTTCTGATTATTGTCTCCTGTCATCGCATAGGCCATCAGATGAAATATGACACCAAACGGCGGGGCTTAAAGTCAAGCTCCAGGGGGGACTTGAACCCGCGACAGCCCAACAAGCGCACACCACCGGAGCAAGGCGCGTAGAGCCAGACGCCCCCCCCCCCCCGCCCGCGGCCACCTGTCCACTGTAATTTTGAGGCCCCAAGCTTGTCCAGGCTTTGCGTCCTCTCCCTGTCTTCAGGCGGACCCCGTCGGCCATGACAGCGTCGGGCGTGTCCTTCAAAACACTCACCAACGCTAAGGCCTATCGTCGGAAGCGTGCAGTATCCGCTTTGAACAACAACCTCAAAAATAAGTGGAGTGCGTACCAGTCGGGCTGGCCACTGAGCTGAACACCTAAACTACACGATATACACCGACCGGGGATATCCAGTACGCATCAGAACACACCACCACTCCTCCCGCCTGCTGGCCATACATTACCTATGGGACTACCGGGCGTTAGCATGCGGGAGCTCGAATAATCGGTTATTTTGGCTCATTTTGATGGCGGTGTTTGCACATATTCGGAGTACTTCTGAACTCACGTATTGATTTCTAAACTTAATTCTTTTGCTAGCGCAGTTCGCTCGTGACGCTGAGCACAGAGGGACATCGTATTTTGACACGAACAATGCTTGCCTGATAACGTCGTTTAAGCAGTTCATCCCGGTATATTGGAAGCCGATTACTGTCCGCATAAGAACTCGAAGTTCTTCATGCCAAAAAACCAGGACTTTAAGACCTTTCTCATTTATATCCTCTTGCCGTGCACAGTGCAGTTTGCGAAAACATTATCTAATGCCCGATAAAATCTAAAAACAATAATGCTGTATGCCTTGAGTTCTGAAAAACCTGCCAGAACCAGCCACCTTTTCACCGATGCCCTGAAAGCACTGCGAGTATTTCTAGCAGCGGTTTGCGGGCGACATGCAATGTCCTCAGAAGTTACGGCTCAGAGCTGCAGGTTAGAGCTGCCGGTTAGAGCTGCCGGTTAGAGTTGCCAGTCAGAGCTGCCGGACGAGCATAGCTGCCGGACAGACAGAGCTGCCGGTTAGAGCTGCCGGACGAGCATAGCTGCCGGACGGACAGAGCTGCCGGTTAGAGCTACCGGTTAGAGTTGCCAGTCAGAGCTGCCGGACGAGCATAGCTGCCGGACGGACAGAGCTGCCGGTTAGAGCTGCCGGACGAGCATAGCTGCCGGTTAGAGCTGCCGGACAGGCAGAGCTGCCGGACGGACAGAGCTGCCGGTTAGAGCTGCCGGACGAATAGAGTTGCCAGTTAGAGCTGCCGGCTGGAGCTGCCGGAGGAAGAAGCACTCGCTACCCTTCATATGTCGCTCAAGTTGAACACAAATCAAAATTTAGAATAAGTCCCAGGTTTCTATAATCCAAGATTCCGAGCGAAACCCACAGCCCTTGTGTCACGCTTTTGAGTACGGGACCTCGTTTTTGGACGTAACTGATGACCCCAATTCATTTTGAAAATGATCGATCCGTAAGGGTCCAAATCGCAGATCGATCGATCCGCAAGGGTCCGAGTCGCATATCGATCGATCTGCAAGGGTCCGAGTCGCAGATCGCCACGAGGTCGAGCCTGACCGCACTCACTGTCCGAAGGGCCACGCGATAACTCTCCCCCACTCTCGGCACATGCACTTGATTCCGGGCCACCATCTCAATCTAAACAAGAGGGTGTACGATGACGAATGCAATGCGATGACGCGCACTACGCGGCCGGGTGGCGTCTCGCTCCCGGAATGAGCAGGATGCGCCTACTTTTTGTGTGGGAGATCCAGTTTTTGGTTGTAGACGGAAGAAAACGTTGCACGTGTCATACGACTTCGCGCAACATTTCGTTTATGTGACGACTTTTTACGCGCGCAGTCGACGCTCCTCGGCCCCTCCTCTCCAGCATCGGGCGATGCCTTGCGAACGAACCGAACCGCCGTCACCTCACGTCTCCAGCTGGCGCGGTACCGACGGACCGCATCCTGCGCAGCAGCCCCGCAAACCTCCCGCACCCAGCTCACCAAGCGGTCAAACACGCTACCACTTTATTTATGAAATTACCACAGAGTAACGCCCCGCACTCCACCGGCCGCCCCAGGCGCGACCGGCGAGGCGCCCATGACAGCCCCGAGCGGCGGAGTGCGCGGACGGGAAACCCCGCGCACCCCCGGCCGCCGAGGCCGCGTGCGGCGCGCCCCCCGGCGCGGCAGAAGCTCGTAATGAAACTCCGCGGCGGGCAGGCCGGCGAGAGCAAGTAATCAGATCGCCCGCCGCCGCTCGATGGCGATACGCGCTAGCGAATCGGAAAACGCGTACAAACGGAGGTAAAATAAGCGATACATGTGGGTTGTACTGGCCGAGGCAAAGCCAGCGCCTGCGTCGTAACACAACTAACCAATCAAGCCCCAGTATAAGCACAAGACCCGACGCGACGGCGACTGATGTCTACCTCGCGAGCATCGGCGCTCTGGCACATGCGCCGGCCGCGTCGAGCCGGGCAGGGGCCGGCCGCCGGCCAGATGCCCTGCTCTCCCTGGAGGGGGCCAGAGGCCCTGCTCTCCCTGGAGAAGGCTAGAGGCCCTGCTCTCCCTGGAGGGGACCAGAGGCCCTGCCCTCCCTGGAGGAGGCCAGAGGCGCTGCCCTCCCTGGAGGAGGCCAGAGGCCCTGACCTCCCTGGAGGAGGCTAGAGGCCCTGTCCTCCCAGGAGCAGGCCAGCGCCGGACAAAGGGCCCACAGTCGGCCAGCTGCCCGCCGACGGCTCGGCCCCCGTCTGCCAGCTACCCCTGCTAGACACGCCACCCCTCCGCAGCTAGAGCTGTCCCCTGCAGCCTGGCAGAGCAGCCCGTCACAGGGACGGCTGCCTGTGGCAGGCCGCGGCTGGCCCCTGGGGCACCGCGCGAGTGTTCCAGTGACGGGAGAGCCCGCCTCCCGCCGATCCTGGGTCTCCGATCCGCCGCCGAACTCTGGGTCTCGGGAGGAGATCGCTCTCCATGGTCGCACGGTCCGTCTCACAGCCGGATACCGCGGCGGTCACCACAGGTCACCACGCGTCTTGCTAGGTCACCACAGGCCACCACACATCTCGCTAGGTCACCACAGGTCACCATACATCTCACCAAGTCACAACAGTGCTGCAATCACCGCGATTTCACCACATCACTGCACGGAATCACGTTCAAGGCCTCACCAGGTCATAAAGGTCGAAGTTAGCGTTGGCAGCAGGGTCACAACGTACCCAAGATCACCACCAGTCCCGTCAGGTCGGCGCAGATCCCGTACGTCACCAGAGGTCACCGCCGCGTCGGATTCCATCGGGGTTAGGGGGCGGAGCCGGCGGCGGTCGGACCGCGCTCCGACTGGTCACTGGGCAGCCCGCCGACCGGTCCCTGGACGCGCGACTCCGACTCGACTCCTTTGCGACTCCACGCGACTCCAGCGCGACTCTACACGACTCGGGCTCGACTCCGGAGGCTGATCTTCTCCTCGACCCGCGCTGGAATCGGCCGCAGCGGCGGCAGGAGTCACTGAGCCCCGGCGCTGCTGATGTGCTGCAGCGTTTGGCGGCGGCCGGCGGCGCCTGGCGACCGGGGCAGGACGGCCTGGCCCGGGGCGCGCCCGCCGACGGTCGGCCCGCGACGCGGCGCTACGCCTGCGGCCGGAAGTAGCGGATGCCGTTTATCTGGAACAGGTCCCGGTCAAGGTCAGTGGGTGCTGACTGGATGCCAAGCTTATCGGTCGCCGCCAGTGACATCGATGATCGCCCAGATACAACGTTAGGCATTTCACCAATGCTGTTACGAGCCATGATTAATTCTGTTTTGCCTGCATTGCGACATTTTGCAGACCCGCGCAACACATGTTATCGTTGCTGCTACACAAAAAGAAACAATTAGGGATTTCGCAATGTAAAGCCAATTATGCCGTCACTTGAGAAAAGAACCACTCACAGACGCTGCGCTCTATCCGTAATTACTCTACAACGATGCAAACACGAAACGTGTTTTAAACGACAACAGACCCGTGCGCAGGCAACAGAAAAAGCTGTCTCCATCATCGACCAGTGTCTAGAGTTTGCACACAACGTTTTCGGGCAGTTGTCTTTCACCGACAGCCACATAATCTTATGTCTGCTAGGCCAGGGACTGGCCATCTTTCCCCTCAATGAAGAAGCCGAGCGAGGCGGGTCATCGCACGCGCAGAAACAGCTCCCGCGAGGTGGGGGTCTATTTACGACCGCGGGCAACTGGGTTACCCGATTTATCAAAGCTTTCCCGCCTGCTGCTGAATTGGCATGACATTATCAACTCGTTATTCCGTCGCCGTTTCAAGTGGGGGAAATTGCTCGCGGTTACGTGCTTCCCAACATAAATCGTTCCAAATCTGTGCATTCCTTAGGGGGGAGGGGGGGGGAATAGTTTCCATCTGTATGACTTCAGAATCAGGAGATAAAGCATCAATCCACCGGTAGAGGGCACGGCGAATGCGCCAGCACAAGGAAATCCGCCAGCATCGCCGCTATGATCAGGTACGGTAAACGGCAAGTCAAGAAAAGGCACAAAAAATATAAAAGCAAGATAACCAATACGGCTGTCATACGAATAAAAAATGACAATGCATCATCCCGCCTTTGTTTAAAGCGCCACTACAGAACAGAGGCCGCCGCAAAAACGAAAAGTCGTCATCCACCGGTCCTGTTACATAAACAAGCCAAACAGACAAGGTCCTGGGCCGTCCCGGCCGCCCGGCCGGTGGTCATCACCCCCAAGGCAGCGGATGCGGCTGCAGCTGGCCAGCGCTGCCACAGGCCCGTCCCTCGCAGCTGGTCCGTCTGCCCTGGCCTGTCTGATCATGCCGTCTGACCTGACCCGCGGCGCGGCTGTCCCGTCCGGCATGGCTGCCTGATCTGCTCTGCTCCGCTCTGGTCTGGTCTGACCTGGTCTCGTTCAGTCTGACCTGGACTGGTCTGGCCTGACCCTGACTGGTCTGACCTGACCTGACCTAGTCTAGTCTAGTCTGACCTGACCTTATCAGCTCTGGTTTAGTCTTGTCAACTCTGGTAAAGTCTGAACTGATCTGCTTTACCCCGATCCGATCTGGTTTAACCTGACCTGACCTGGTTTAGCCCGGTCTGACCTGCACCACCCTGGCCTCTCGTAGCGGTGCCGTGGCCACGTTCCGCTCCCCACCGTTCAATCCGTGGCCGCCGCTGACCAGGGGTGCAGGGCCCGACCAGGGCGCAGAGCCCAGCCAGGGGTGCGGAGCCCAGCCAGGGATGCAGGGCCCGACCAGGGGCACAGAGCCCAGCCAGGGGTGCGGAGCCCGATCAGGGACGCGGGCGCCGACCAGCTGCCCACGCGCCGTCCCCAGCGGCGGCCATTTCGAGACGGACGCCTTCATGAAGTATCACGTAAGATGCGGTAGTGGCCGCATAAGATAGTTACCACTACACCACGTCCACCCCGTCCCCACCGTCGTGGCCCATGTATTTACACTGGACAAGAGTGCGTCCGCTTCACTACAACGGGTGTGTGAATAACAGCTGCTACGAAGCCTCGTCGTCTCGCGATCAGACGAAACCCTGCATCCGACGAGCCCCTGGGGGCGGATCGCGTCACGTGCTGATTCCGCTGATTCAGAAAAAATTGCTAAAAGTAATCTTAGCTGCGTTCATGATTTGCGCGTAGCGTTCCGTTCGATTGACTGCCAAAGACCGCTGTGCCGTCAGCCCTGGAACGTCACCCAAGCGGCCTGAGCTCCAGCACCATTTTGCAATGTGAGTTGGGGCTTTTATTCTGACAACAATCGACCTTCAACAGACGAGAAGGTGATGGTTAAGTAATGCTATTAAGGAAGCATTGGATATATTGATAACACTTGACATTTTAAGCTGCGCTCATGGCCGCGAGTGGTTCACAAGACATCTGTGACAATGAGCACAGCTTGAAAAAAACGAGCTTTATCAATACAACCAATGCGTTCTTAATCACGTCGCTCAACCAATATGTCCTGGTCTATCGAAGGCCAATTACTGTCAGAATAAGATAATCCGACCAGCAATGTCGAAAAACAGGCGCTTAGTCCTGTTTTACTTGCCCGGGCCTGCTGGCCAAATTCAGCTTCGGCAATTTGGCTAGCACACTTTCGCGTGGCAGCTCAGATGTCGGTACGAACAAATTGCATTCATGCCTAGTCCAACCGAACGGAGCAGAACCGCGTCCACAGTCGGTGCAAGACCTTTTCACGCTAACGCAATGAACCCCTGCAATGAGCCGATGCGCGTAAATTCCCCGAGCAAAGCCAAAAAAACTTTGCTAATGCAAGAAGTTTCAGCGCGAGCACACGCACTTTTAAAGTAAGATGAGCTACTTTGAAAACAAACAGCAAACTTCCGCAACACTGACAGTATTTCGGAAGTGTCCCATTTAATGTACGTGTCTATTTCTTACCAGGAGGGGAACCTTGGAGTGCGCTCTGGCGTTGGCCGGCTTCATCGTCTTTTTTTCGTTACGAAGCGTTAATAAAAACTCATCCCGCACAACTGTTCGCAGATATGAGCGAAATGCAACTGGTCTCTTATCAGAACAGAGTCAAATTTATGTAATGTATGAATGATGTAAGAGTAATGCTTTGAATGATGTGTTGTCTGTCTTCACCCACCGTGCAGTGGGATCAAAGACGCCGATGGATATTCCTTGCGCCTCTTCCAAACGCTTTCATTGATTGAAAAACGAATACGACCAAGCCTAGTGGGGGTGAAAAACGTACCGAACTGCTAACTTTGGACATGCTATTCAAAGCCATGGTCGGCGCATCACCCGCGTGACGCTGCGCTGCGCCGCGTCTGCCGCACGCCCGGAGACGACGCCGGCGCTCGGACCGCCACGCCGCCGCCCAGCCAACGCACCGTCATGTCGTACTCGGTGATGAAGGCCGGGATCTCCAGCTGGTCGGGGTCCATCATGCTGTAGAGGTACTCGACGCCGGTGATGTTGTGCACCTTCTGCTTGATGCCCGGGGCCATGAACGTGGTGAACCACCAGGTCATCAGCTTGGTCCAGATGGTCGGGTGCACGATGTAGAAGGCCTTCAGGTTCTTCTTGTACCTGCGGCGGGGGCGAGTGTCAGAGCGGGGGAAGACGTCGGGTGGGACCTCCGATGCTTCCCAGGGGTGGGTGGGTGAAGGGAGAACACTCGCCATCACCAAAATATTAGTTGATGATTGATCAATGAGATAGTGATAGCATGATAGTGTGATGATAAATCACGGACAGCGAAGCCTCTGATCAACAGAAGACGGTGGCTGAATGATGCCTTGAAATGGTACTTCGCGAATTTTAAAAAGCACTGCGTACGAAGAACTACCTGTTACCTAGCTGTACCAGAGCCAACAGCTTTCGGAGGTTTTTGTCTGTGCTTGGGGTTGGGGGTGGGAGGCCCAAACAGTCGCCACACGTGGCGCCCGGGGTACAGGCCGGCCACGACCACGCGCCAGGCGACAGCGAACGGGCGCTAAATGAGGCCACGGGCGCCAAACGCCGCAGGCATTCCGAGTCAGCACATTCGCTGACTTTCGGAGAGCAAAAGTTCTGGAAGCGCTAATACTTGTCCCTATCCAGTCCTGGAAGAGACAGGACATCCCCGCTGGGTCTTCCTCACAAAACACTATGCAGCCCTCCTTCCCTGCCCGACCGACTTCGTAAGGAACTCTTAGGTCGATCCTAAATGTGTGTCGCTGTGTCACAGAGTCAGCCACCACTGACGGCTCGGCAGCTTCAGTATAGCATTCATCGCTGATCGTGGAGCATTGAGAGCAGCACTTAGACAGCCGACCGGCTCGTTTCCATGCCAACGTCACGACGGCCAAGAACGACCGCGGCTCTTCTGCCGACGGGAGCCCACACGCAAAAGAAAGAAAGAAATATTGCCTGAGCACGAACTATCTCCTAGTACGCTTAGCTCCACCGGAAATCCATTCTTTCAGGCCTCCGCGAACCTCGCCATTAACTGAAGAGATGAGCCGACCAAAAGAGCCAATCGGCGGCAGGGAAGCCCTCCGACCGCGACCTCGAGGACCGGCGGAAAACCCGGGCCCCAGCCGGCTCGAGCCACGACAGCGTCTACCGCGAGACGGGAGGGCGCCAAACGCCGGCCAAAGCCCGTGTTTAGTGCAGCGCCGGGAGGCAATCTGATCCGGAGACACGGCGGCGAGCGTCGGTGGGAGGAGCCGCCCCCTGCGGTGGGACAGGCCAGGCGCCCCCTCCCCCCCCCCCCCGCCGGCCGGCGCCGCTCAGTACTTCCCAACCACACACCGACAGCGCGGTACGTCTCGTGCGCAGATCAGGCCGGGCCGGTGACCCGCTGGAAGCCCGGTCCGGCGGGAGGCGTGACGCAGGTTACGTGGTCAGGACTGGCGTCTCGGTCGGCGGGCGGGACGGCGCTTGACGACCCGTCCCCGAGGCGCCCCCGTGACCTTTGCAAGCGGCCGACGACAGCGCGACTTGCGTTTCAGTCGCCGCGGTTTTCAGAACGTATGGCGGCCACGTGCGGACGGGCCTGGCAACCGGGGGTGGGGTGGGGGGGGGGAAGAGGGGGTGGAGGGGGTGGAGGCGGAAGGACGGGTGACGGCGCACCCACTCATACTCGAGTCAAGATGCAGTCAGTTGTCAGACTCATTTGTGCTCGAGTCAGTGCCAATGACCGAGTGAAGTGAGCCAAGTCCGATGCAGCCTCGCTCGCATTCGAGGCAGCACAAGTAGATGAGACAGGTACGTCGACACACACAGTTGTACTCGATGCGGCGTCAGCGAGTGAGTCACGTGAGTCCAGCACACCGCTCATCCGTGCTCAGACTCGAGTCGGTAGGTGAGTCAGGTCAGCCGGCAGACAGTTTGCTCTCCGTCAGTGACCCAGTCAAGTGAGTCAGCTCTCCCCCTTGCGCGCTCAGTTCCCTTCTCACATGCACTAAGCGCCGGCGCCGATGCGCCAGCACGCCCGCTCGGACTCGAGTCACGATCCGCCGCCGAGTCCGGCGCGCCGACTCACTTGTACTCGAGCACGTCGTACACCTGGCGGATCCAGCTCATGGCGGGGTGGTTCTCCGACTCGGTGAGCGTGTGGAAGTAGATGATGGTGTAGTCGTTGGCCACCAGCGGCTCCAGCAGGTAGATCAGGTACAGCAGCGCCTGGCGAGGGCAGGGTCCGCGTCAGGGGTTTGTTCCGTTTACCGCGGCCCTTCACTGCGGGGGCGTGCACTGATTGGCCGATGGCACAGAGCTATAGGTAGTCATGACGTCATCTCCTCGTAAATACATCAGGGTTATTTCCAGCAGACGGAGAAGGGCGACAGGATAGGGGCTGTGCTGACGGTATAGATAACGCCATCAGAAGAGAGGGCGAGAGAAGAGGGGAAGATCAAGGACGTGGAATGCATGGCAAGGGGAGAGGCGAGAGCGGTGAAGGGAGGGAGGGAGGGAGACACAAATACCGACCAAAGTGGTGCAAGGGTGAGGTCGAGGGAGACAGACTGATAGAGACGGGGACGAAGATGGAGGCGAAGGGGATCAGGGGTAGAGACACGGAGGCGGTGACGAGCGCGAGGGACAAATCAAGATGATTATGTAACAAACCAGGCAGCGCAACGAACACCAAGGACGGGAGAATGGCCACGACCGGGACGGCGAAGGGAGTGACGTGCGGACGGGGAGGTCGCACCACTTCCGCTCCTGACGCCCCCGTGACCGGCACGGCCCGTGACATGACCCGACACGACGTGCGACGGCGCGGCGGCCCTGTCCAAACCGCAAACGCACCGCGCACCGCATGACTCGCAGAAAACGTCGGGCAAGCCGCCGCCCAGCGCCTACTGCGCAGCTGAGCCGACCACCGCCGCGACCGCACCGCGGACCACAAGCCGTGACCAGAGGGGGTGATAACATCGCGCGCTCGTGGTCCTCTGGCGTAGGGGGGGGGGGGGGCGAGTCCCAGAAGCAGCAAACCCCTCCGCAGTGCTGGTGCACCACTCCTGTGTGGCAGAAGACACGCGCCCGTACTCGTGATGGGGAACCAAAACTCGAACAAATGGCGGCGTTGAGCAGAAAGACAAAATGATGAACTTGTTCCTTCATCCGGTTTTCTTCGTCGCGATCCTTACCACAATTCAAAATATATGCACATAAGCTCCCTCGGACCCACACACATCTGGCAATTTACGTAGAATGCTGTACATTTGAATCGAATACTCGGACGCAAGCGCCGGTTACAATCATGATGACACAATACAAGCGAACAGTGAATTAAAAATGAATGCAGAAACCGATCAGACTGGCCAGCACTGGTCTGGTTTGGTCGGATCAGCTCTGGTCTGATCTGGTCCGGTCCGGTCCGGTCTAGTCCGGTCCGGTCCGGTCCGGTCCGGTCCGGTCCGGTCCGATCTGGTCTGGCTGGCCTGGTCTGGTCAACTCCGGTCTGGTGGTCTAGTCAGACCAGTCAGCTCTGGCCTGTGCCCGACACCCGAGCCTCCCTGATACATATCGCCGGCGTCACAGATTCTGCCAAACGCCGGCAGATGGCCGTCGGTGGCTGGTCCTGTACGACTTCGGCCCAGCCCAGCTCCGGCCAGCCACCTCAGCTCACCGGCTTCCACTCAGCTGAGGCCCGAACCCGACGCGCCTCCCGACGGCGACCTGCTCGTCTAATTTGCACTCCGCGGGGCGGCTGGGCATCCGCGTGGTAACGTCCCCTGCTCAGTGTTGGTGATTGGTCTCGGGGGAGGGGGGGGGGGGGGGCAGGGGCGGCAATGCGACAAGCTTAACAAAGCGGTCCCTGCAGCGCCAATTACAGTGGGTATCCTTTCCGCCGAACTGAAATGGTTGGAGGATGGGGCTCCCCCGGGATCAGCACCCGGAAATGACACCATCCCAGCCCCCCCCCCCCCCCCTCACCACGTGAGCCCCTGCTAACAGCTTTGCCATGAGAAACAGACTCATCAGTCTGTCATCACTCAACAGTCAGCTCATCCAGAAGTGTTGGCAGCTTGTGCTGCTCCACATCCTTAGTACAACCGCATAACCACAGGTGAGAACCCAGCACAAAGGCACGTCCAGAATCCAGAAATCCAAAGCCAGGTTAATCCGCCGGAGCTCTGCCGACCGCCACAATAGCCGAGGCTCGCTGTTTTGGCGAGGCGACGCCTAAGCTCGCTCGTTTCATCTGGACGGTGCGAGTGAGCTAAATCGCACCTTGTTTCACCGAGTTGTCCCATTCATCAACGATTTAAAACATACACCTTAGGCGTAATTTGATTGTCGTTCACCTGCAATGCCACATAGCATGACTTTAACATTGTCAGTCGCAGTCTCAGTCTGAGAATGTGGCACCAGCCCGAGTGCCACGCCCTACGGCATGTTCACCTTGTCCAGGTCGATCTCGAGGGCGCGGAACCACTTGCCGATGAAGCAGATGACGGGCCTGCCAAAGCGGTCCTTGCCCGTCTGGTACAGGCATCCGATGCCCGAGATCTCCGACAGGTCTTCTGTGCGCGCCCGCCGCAAGAGGCGCTCGTATCTGCAGACGAAACGTTATAGATGGCGCCACTAGTTACCAGGAACAGCTCTACTGCGGCGCCACTGCTTCCCACGAGTTTCGAAGTGGGTCGAAAAACTGATCTGAAAACACTGTCCGGGATACAAGCTTTACCGGCGCCCTAGCCATGATTTCAACCAGAATGAGCCAAATCGGAGCACAGACCATTTCAGCCAAGGAGGCAGGAGACCATTTCACAGACACAGGCACAGGAGACCATTTCACTTGACAGCCACAGGGGCACTGCTCTTTATTTGGGACCTTTATAGACTCGGAACCCCATTTTGATGTCTCCAGAGCCAATCTATGATGTTTTAGAAGTCCTTCGGATGTATAAAACTGTCAAAAACTACTAAGGCCATCAGCTCTGCGGGGCCCTGCCGCCTCAAGAGGGAGATGGGGAGAGAGACTGATCCCAAAAAGCCCTACCATTGTCGACAACACTTAATGCTGTTGCGTTTGAACCTGTATTGATAACTGTAGCGCGTGCACCTACTCGCCATGGGCAAGACAAAATATCTTGAAAAATATCTAGCAAATACGGGACTAAAAGTGGTAGGGCCTGTCGTACACATGCGGGCAAAATAAACACAAAGTTAGAACACAACTCTGTCAAAGCCAACGGGATTATGCCAGCACTCTTTGGAGCGGCCAGCTTGCGTGCGATTCCAGCACGCCTGAGCCAATCATGACCAGCCACGAGACACAGGTCAGCTGGGAACAGCTGTCACATTGTCAACCCCAGCGTTGGCGCGCCTGCTCTGCGGGCGTACCGACCGCCAACACAGCACACTGCCGCGTCTTAAAAGAACTGCAGATCGGGACCAGATGCGTCATAGGGGGCGCTCTCCGGCCGCCAAAGCGCCCGAAACAGCGCCCGCAGAGCCCAGTCGGTCGGCTCACCGCTCGCGCTTGCAGAGCTGCTGCGAGATGGCGAAGTTGGAGGCGCTGCCGGCCGGCCCCGTGCCGAGCAGGCGCTGCCGGTCGACGTCGTCCTCCATCTGGGAGAAGTCGCGCAGGTCGGCTGCCAGCCGCGCCGGCAGCTCGCCGCGGTGCTCGCCCGAGTGCTGCAGACCTGCCGCCACCGGGGAGCCGTCAACGAGAGGCGGCACACGGCGGCGCACCGCCGCCAGACGCGTCTCGTGGGTCGGGACGGCGATGGGGAGGCAGCGAGCGGGCGGCGGCGCGACATCCAAGTCGTCGTTGTCGGCGCGAACGCTGAGCCCGGCTGACCACCGGGCGTGACTCTGAGGGCTCTGAGGGCGTGACCTGAGGGCTCATGAGGGCGTGATCTGAGAACGTGATGTGAGGGGCGGTGATCTGAAGCGTGATCTGAGGTGGGGATCTCAGGACGTGATCTAAGGGCGTCATCTGAGGGCGTCATCTGAGAGCGTCATCTGAGGGCGTAATCTCAGGACGTGATCTAACGGCGTCATCTGAGGGCGTCATTTGAGGGGCGTGCAGTCTCAGGACGTGATCTGAGGGCGTGATATGAGGTCGTCAATCTGAGGGGCGTGACCCGAGGGCGTCACCTGATTGCGTAATCGCAGGACGTGACTGAGAGGCGTTGATCTGAGGGGTGGCTGAGGCGTTATCTCAGGACGTGATCTAACGGCGTTATCTTTCTCAACAAGTCGCTGACTAAACCTTCGCCTCGGGCTCCCGGCCCCGGCCAGCGGCTGTTCGCCCCCCCTGAGCGCACCCGCTGCTCCCGCCCCTGGATGCACCCCTGCTGCTCCCCCCTGGGCTCACCCTTCTGCGCCCCCGCCCCTGGTCACCCCTGCTGCTCCAAGCCCCTGGGCGCACCCTGCCTGCTCCCGCCCTAGGCGCACCCCTACTCTTACCCTACTGGCCCCCGCCATGCCGACGGCTCTCCTGCGCGCCGTGCACACCGAGTCACGCTTTTGTTCTCCACCAAGGCCGCTCCGGAGGCCGCGACGTGCCTGCAGCGACGGTGGACGCCTTTCCGCCAGCGCCGACAGGTGGGAGGCCGGAGCACCACAGCGCCATGTGGCGCTGGACGGCCGGCTGTCACCGTCCCCAACACCGACGCGGCGCTCTGTGTGCTCTCGGGGCAGCTGTCCTAGTGTCCGCGTCGCCAATGACAGAACGAGTGGAAGGGACATTCAAGGCCAGAGCTAGTTCAGTTTGACTTTCAGGATTCGTCATCGCCAGTGAATTATCCGTGAGTTACACTAATGCCTATGGGAGCGCCAAGATGAAAATGAGTCCCCGAGTCCAACAAAAGCTGCGCCGGTGTCCGGCCGGAGCTTTTTTCAATTGCCCCTCTCACTTCGCACATGCCGCCACAAACAGCCACACCGGCCAGCGTTCCTCCCGGCAGAGCGCCCTGCATGTCGACACCCTGGGCCCGTCGGCGGTGGCCGGCCCCGTGACGTCACCAGCCCGGCAGTACCGGGGCCGCCCGGCCTACAGCAGCGGCTCCCTGGACCACGACACAGAGCTGTTCCGCTGGCAGAGCGACTGCCATCGCCCTGGGTTAGGCCACGCGAGGCACCACGTGACCGGCAGGGGCACCCATGGGAGATGGCCTTCGCATCAGGGTGTGCACTGCGCTGCGGCTGATCCAGCCACGTGACCTTTCGAGTCGCTGGGACTGCGGTGGGCGCCGCGCAAGCCCGGCACCGATGCAGAGCACAGAGAGCACGGATGGAGCGCGCGCTGTGACGCGGGACTACGAGACCTGCGGAGGTTGCACGAGTATCATAGCTGAACGCTGAGGCAGTTTTGCAGCATGCATGGGAAAAGTCGCCACCGTAAGATCCGGCATCGCAGAGCGACGATAACGGTCTCGTGCGGCGACAGTCTCGTGACCTTCAATCCCACCGCGAGATCTCGTCCCTCCTGTTCTTTGCCTCTGGCGAAGACACGACACAGCTCATCCCGCTCGTCATGAGGACGGTGCCGATGACGCGACGGGCCGTGACCTTGGCCTGCGCGGTGCGGGGTCCGACGGGCGCCAGACACGGCCAGGGTGAGTGGGAGCGACGGGTGATAAGATGGGGTGATAACCACCCACGCCAAGTCCGGATACAGGCCGTTGGAGCGGGCGGCACAACCACCTTCCCTCCCCCGTCGTTCACCACCGGGACGGTCATTCCGTGCCAAACGTCACCGGTGCGGAGGGTCCCGGTTCGAATCCCGCCCAGGGCACATATTTCAACCCCGCAACAGCCAGTCCCAGAGGCTGCCTCTCTCATGACCACAACGGACGCACTCGGAGGTCAACAATCTGACACGCCTGACCCGTCCCGAGGTGACGAGCAGCTCGACGGCGGCGTGTTTGACTAATAACAGCGACGACCAGGGTCAGGAACTGAGAGCTTCAACCGACCGTATGTGCAGCTTATGCCGACTGTTCGTGCGAAAGAGTCCGTTAGTATTCCGAAGGGCCATCGACTTGAGACGTTGGAAGGGAAGGGTCTCTATTAGCCAAAGAGTTGCAAGGCAAGGGTGAGAGAGGGGCTCGCGGCTCGCGTCGAGCCGCGCCGTCGGAACCTGAACATGGACTGCTCGGCAGGGACCGTGCGTCCCCGCCCGCTTGCCCCCATAAACCCAAGTGGCCCACATATGGGTTCCAGATGGTGGGGACCAATCGGCAGAGGGGCCGTTCACACCCTCGCGGAGACGCCGCCGCCGCGTCGGCAGCGACGGCCCGTTTGCTCGCCGACTGTCCTTACTTAACTTAATGCCAGCTAAGCTAAGCTTACTGAATTCGCCAGCTGAACCTTCACTTAATAACCCATCCCGGCTGAAACTGGGAGGCGGGGTTGCGTCGCTCCCCAGAGGTCAGGCCCATCGCGCCGCGCGCGCCGACACCGCCGGCTGTTCCCGGGCGGCAGCGGTCGGCGGGGTCGGCGGGGCCGGCGGGGCCTACGCCGGCCGACTGCCGACTGCTCGTTATCCCGCCACCGCGGCGCGTGCCGACACAGCTGCGACGGCCATTAGCGCCGCCTGTTGTCCCGCCGCTCGTGCACGGAATGTGACGGTGCAGTGGGGACGCGCCGCCGGAAATGGCTGCGTGAATTGCGAGCGGGGTGGCCGAGCGGCCTTTGTGGCCTCCGGCGGGGTATGTTCGTGCGCTGACGGCGATGCGACGCGACCTTGACGCCGCATTGTTTACCGGGCGCAGGAACTGCCTAAAGTAACGTGATGGTGGCCTTAAAACTGCTGCAGACATGACGAAATCGACCACGCCGGGTGTTGTACTTCAGCAGCGCGAATTTACATTTGAAACGTGTACGTTGTCTGACCGAACCTGCATACAAATATCGACTGGCAAACAGCTGGAGAACCGGCAACACGCCGGAAGAGAAAACTAAAGAAGATGCTGCATTGCAGAAAAAAACATTCCCAGCGGCTTGATAAAAATAGTATAGTCAACTTGACTTATGATGCTTATTTGGAGGATAGCACTGGACAGTAGCATTGCACACCACTGGCTACTCTCTGACACCATAACATGGTTAGAATTTTGCAAGACACTGCCCCAGATACCAGATATGTGACACCTGATACAGATACACGATATGTGACACGACACACTGAATGTGAGAGGCAGCGCCTAAGTATCTCAGTTTCGGAAAAGGGATGTATTTGGGGTTTAATGTAAAGTGCAGGAACATCATTGAACGATTGCAGCCGCATTGCCTTATGCCTCGTGCATTGCGCGAGCAAACACATCCATTCGGAGTTAATTTAATGACAATCGGGTCCAAAATCAAAATTACTGGTCTGATATTCTTTTCAACCTAATTGTCAATAAAGGCGAAGTTAACTTGTTTCGCTCACCGATTAGCGCACGCAACATCCAACCCGCCGCGCGACCCAGCCCGTCTTCCAGACCGGGTCCAACTATTTCGGCCGGCAACTTTTGAGCCACGCTACTTCGCTCCACAAGCTTTTTCCAACTCGGCTGGCAGCTACCGGCAAGTTCTCCCCGACGCAGGGCACGCGTGCCATGTAACACCAAGAAAGGGACGACCGGCTGAGCAACGCTTATAAAGTCGCTCGACAGTTCTCTTCGGCAAAACGTCTCATGAAAGTTCTCTTCTGGGCTGGAGCCACAGCGATTTGTGACGGGTTCCGGGTGTCAGCGGTCCGCTCCCCGTGCCTTACACCATGGGCTCCCATCGCAGTCCGCGCAGAACGCATTTCTATGCGAGACCGCACCAGATGCGCACGTTCTCGGCGGCCCGACTGTCGCACCGAGGGCGCCGGCGCCAGAGCCGGCGGCCCGACTGTCGCATCGAGGGCGCCGGCGCCGGAGCCGGCGCCTGTGGAATGGACGCGCGCGATGGCCCAATAACCGCCTCCGTCCGACCGCACGGAAGCCTCCAGCTAACCGCGAGGAGACACGGCGGCGGCGGCGGCGGCGGCCCCAGCCTTGAGCGCGGGGTGGCCGGCGGCCCGCGGCGGGTGTCAGGGTCACCCGACGCTCGGAGTCGGCTGACAGCAGCCACTCAGCAGCGGGAGCACGCGCACGCCAGGCCCGCACGCCACCGACGTGCGGGCCTGGACGTCGTGCGTCGCTGCAGGCGACGCACGGCGTCCAGGCCACAGGCTGGCCCCGCGCCACCACAATCGAAGGCGGGCCTCGGTCCCTCACACCCACACCCACAGCAGGGGCCTGGCCATGGGGCCCGGCCCCTGGTATATGGCCGCGCCTCAAAGTAGTCGAGTCCGCGCAAAAACTACCAGCCCGGACGTTTACGACCCCGCAGTGGTAATTACGACCACGCACGCACGCACGTTTACACGCGCCGTATCATTCCCACGGACACGCACAACCGCTCACGCGTGTAAATGCACGCACGCGCGCGTCGCCCGCCGTCACGTGGGCAGACGGCGGCGGGAGCCCGAGGTCGTTCTGTGTGATCGTGCCGGGCGGCGGCTGAGCGGCGGCCGACCGCGGTCAGGTCCGGCGCGCTCCGAACACGGAACTCCTCACAGCCAGAGGCGGTGAACAGGGGTCAGCTCACGGCCGGAGGCGGTGAACAGGGGTCAGCTCACGGTCAGAGGCGGTGAACAGGGGTCAGCTCACGGCCGGAGGCGGTGAACAGGGGTCAGCTCACAGTCAGAGGCGGTGAACAGCGAACCTCTCACGGTCGGAGGCGGTGAACAGGGGTCAGCTCACGGCCAGAGGCGGTGAAACAGGGGTCAGCCCACGGCCGGAGGCGTGTGAACAGGGTCAGCTCACGGTCAGAGGCGGTTGACCAGGGGAACCCCTCACGGCCGGAGGCGGTGAACAGGGAACCCCTCACGGCCGGAAGGGCGAACGGGGTTCAGCTCACGGTCAGAGGCGGTGAACAGGGAGCCCCTCACGACCGGAGGCGGTGGACGGGGTTCAGCTCACGGCCAGAGGCGGTGAACAGGGAACCCCTCACGGTCGGAGGCGGTGAACGGGGTTCAGCTCACGGCCAGAGGCGGCGAACAGGGAGCTCCCACGGCCAGAGGCGGTGAACAAAGGTCAGCCAGGCCAGAAGCGACGAACCAGGGTCCGCTCAAAGCCGGAGCCGGTGAAGGACGACGGTGTCCGACCGACTCTGGGGTCGGACCTCGGTCTCGGGCGGCAGTGACGTCAGCAGTGAGTCAGTCGGCCGACGCGTGCGGACGAGTGCGTCGTCCGGGGTTCACAAACTAGGAGGGTCGCGGCAAGCGACTGTGACACGACGTGCGCGGATTTCTGCCTGTTTGAGGACCCGCAAGATTAGCACCCAGCCTTACGCACCACCTGAAAGCGTTGGAATTCCTCCAGACCCAGTGACGTCACAAACAGAGCCTTCGCACCCCTGAGCCACGCTGCGACGCTGCCGGCGACTGATCGCATCCATTGGGTGCGGTCGTGTCTCACTCAGATTTGATTAGCTCGCTTTTGGCAAAAAGATTCACTTACAAAATTAGCGCGGTTCGCAACAGCTGCTCATCAATGGACAACTGAGCTCGACGCAAAATAACACGGCCCATTTGGAAGGCCACCAAGAGGGCAGCCACCGTTCCCGTCCGTTTCTAAACCGAGCTCCGGATGTTTATCACCGCCCCTATCCGCCGCCCGCCGCCAGCCGCCCGCCGCCCGCCGCCCGCCGCCCGCCGCGCCAGCAGCCAGCCGCCCGCCGCCAGCCGCCCGCCGCCAGCCGCCCGCCGCCCCCCCGCCAGCCGCCCGCCGCTAGCCGCCAGCCGCCCACCGCCAGCAGCCAGCAGCCAGCAGCCAGCAGCCAGCAGCCAGCAGCCAGCCGCCCGCCGCCAGCGGCCCCCGCCAGCCGCCCGCCGCCAGCCGCCAGCCGCCAGCAGCCAGCAGCCAGCCGCCCGCCGCCCGCCGCCCGCCGCCAGCCGCCAGCCACCAGACGCCAGCCGCCGCCCGCCGTGTTTCACTGCGAGACGACGCGTCGGCGCCGCGCCATGTTGAGCCCCCTGGACCACGGTCATTGCACCATCCCTTTTTGCAATCCCATTGACACCGCGCGCGTGAAACACGCACCGGCATCACCTCTGGGGGTGGGGGAGGGGGAGGAGGATGGGGGAGGGGTCAGCCCAGCCCGATCTCGGCCTGGCATCGAACTGCTCTCACCATCGGCTATCAATACTGCTGCCTCCCAGATCGGGGCCATGGCTGAGGCCGGGAAACAGACGGCGGCGACGGCGGCGGCGGCGGAGGCCTATTTCTGTCCTCTGAAGTGAGTCCTGTTTTTGTGCGTCCTGCTGCGCGTTCCCAGAAGCCGAGACGGCCTCCTCGAAAGAATCAAATATAGGCCTCTAGGAAGACAAGCCCAGTCCCGGCCGCGCGAGCTCAGCATTTTGATTGGTTGGTTATTTAGGTTTTGGGCCCATCGACCGCACGGTCACGCAGCGCCCAGATCCCAGGATCAAAGGAAGCCACATCATCGCGTTGTGTCATCGTCACTGAGGCCTTGCGACGCACTCAGCAGCTGAGGCTGCGTGGCGTCGCCGGCCTCTCACCCCGGCGGCGAGGGCGGTCGCCGCGGGGCATCGAGCCCCGCGCCGCCGGTCGGACCACGGTCCGACCTGGACGGGGATACGGCCGGTGCTGTCGTGTGGACGGTGCCCGCTGGCGCGTCGACCTGAACGAGAGGTCGGGACAGCGCGTGCGCTCCCACTTTCGGGCAAGAATGGCATGTTCACAGTGAATGGAATGGTCAGATGCGGCGACGATGATGTGTACCATCGCAGCTCTCCAGACACAGGCGAAAGGAACGTCTCAGAAAGTCGGGTGCCAAACCCATTCTCAAGTCGACTGCTTCCACGCGTCGCTGCGGGGTCAACGTCCCGCTTTCTCAGAAAGCAGGGTCGGCACGGCACCCACGGGTCCCCGTCCCCACGCCTATGGTGGCGTGGTTACCTCGCCGCTGGTAACCGCCCGGGGGCGGTCGATACGGACAGCTGGTCGGCCGAGGCAGCGGGTGCTCCTCTCGGCAGCCCGGGCGCCTCACTGACCTTGGTAGCTGTGCTGGGGGTTGTCGATGATGCGGATCGCCCTGTCAGGAATCACGGGAGCGCCGAACTCGTCGCCGACGTCCTCCTGAGGACAGCGCAGGGGAGGGCAGTCAGCGGCGGGGTCGAGGGTCGGCGTGCTGCGGCGGCGGCGGTGTTGCTGGCCGGGCGGAGCCGCGGGACGTGATGGCCGGGCGGTAATCACGGGCTAGCGCGGTGGAGGCCGAACCCAGCACGCCCCAACAGAGCCCAGTCCGGACCCACGACCCGGGCCGCCACCAACACGACTCAAAGCGCCGCTCAAAACGCATCGCCGCGGCCGGGACCGGCGCCCGGATCAGCCGCGCCGAATTTGTCATCGGCATTGACCTTTCCGTGCGCTGACCAATGGCCGTCGCTGGCCGGTGGCCGGGCCCCGCCGGGTCGGCCCGGCCCGGCCCGGCAGCTGACTCGGGTCGATGTGACCTCGACTCGGCTGCACTGCTATCAGATCAGTGCACTGGCTCGCCGCGCCGCTCGCGCCGAGCCGGACGCTAGCAGCAGCCCGCGCGGTGCACGCCAATGCGCGAGGCGTTGTGTACTGCTGGGTACTCTCCTGAGCGAGACGAGGGGTCTGCTCGCGGCGCAACAGCAGTCCTCCATTCTGCGTGATGTCAGGCACAGCCTTTGCAGGACGTGTTCCCAGCGCGAAACGTTGTCTGGTTATATCTTCGTGACCTTCGTGACAATAAATGCACATGCGAGATACCTTCATCTACCTTTGCAGCGCCCCTATAGATGGAAACGGTAAATTATGCTGTTGTAAAACACATTTTAATTACTCGTGGTTGGTCCTGGATGCGCAAATTGCCATGCATTTAATTGACTCTGTTGCACCATTTCTGTATCACTTCCATCCAGAAGCGGAACAATATTCTGCGCGCTCGGCAAACATTATTCGTGACGTCACGCAACATCTTTATCATCCAGATTGCTGCACACACCAAAAGGCGCGGAATCCATAGGGCATAACGCCATAAATGACGTTAACGGCGCAGATTCTTTGTCGTCCGGGTCGCCGCGAACGCGCCCGAACTGTCCCGCTCGGTTCGCTCGTGACGTCACAGCGTGTCGAGACGCGGGACACCAGTGCTCGGGCAGGAGCCGACCGCGAGCTCCGACCATCCCGTGCTGCTGTTGAGGCAAATTAGCCGTCTTCTGACATCTAGTGGGAAAAGTTCGTTGACGGGAGCTCGCCAGCCCGCAGACAGAATGCGCACCGCCCGCCCCATGCGTCTATAACAAAAGTGATCGCCGAAAGTGATCGGAATATTTTCCTCCAGTCCTCCAGGAGAAGGGCACCACCATAGTTTAGAGTACAAGCAAACGACAGTCACTGGACTTGGACAGGGTGCTGGTTCCGTGGCTCATTCGTGTCTGCGGAGCCCAGCCGGCGGCCATGTCCGGTCCCCATCCTGCAGCAGCGCCGAACAGAAGGCAGCCATTTCACTAGTCCAGGACAACAGCGTTCAACTCCGGTATTCACCACCAATTAGGCGGGGATTTGTACGCGAACCAGGCTGCGTGCCATTCGGAACATATCTTGACTCAGTCCGGCCTTCGGGAGGCGCCGGCTGTTTGAACACCTGGAACCGCGGCCTGTCCGGACCTCCAGCGGCGCAGTCTGCCCCAACTGTCCGGATCTCCAGAAGCGCAGTCCGCCCTAACTGTCCGGACCTCCAGCGGCGCAGTCCGCCCCAACTGTCCGCACCTCCAGCAGCGCAGTCCGCCCCAACTCCCAACAGTTTGGACATGTTTGGTCGGACGTCACGTCACGTCCGCTGATGAGGCGGTGCTCACAAGCCTAGGCCCGAGTCCAGCCCGCCATCAGACAACACAGACAACACAGACATGGGCGCTGCATGACAAGTCAGCAGTCGATGCCCCCTAAAACCCCAATTCATCATCCTCATCATCATCAGACAACACAGACCGCTGATGGTGCGTCAGCCATTACCGAGCTTAAGTTCTTTTCCAGTTATCAGACGTCATGTGCCGTTGATGGTCCATCAGTCATCATCCGGCCCCTGGTCCGTCCAGTATCAGGTGTCACCGTCCACTAATCTCCCATCAGTCAACAGACCCCTGGTCCCTCCACTATGAAACGTCAGTTGCCATTGTGGAGCGCGTCGGCTACTAAGGCCATTTGGCACCATCGGACGCCACCGTCCACTAATGGCCCATCAGTCATCCGACCCCTGGTCCCTCCACTATCAAACGTCAGTTGCCATTGTGGAGCACGTCGGCTACTAAGGCCATTTGGCACCATCGGACGCCACCGTCCACTAATGGCCCATCAGTCATCCGACCACTGGTCCCTCCACTATCAAACGTCAGTTGCCATTATGGAGCACGTCGGCTACTAAGGAAATTTGGCACCAGCGGACGCCACCGTCCACTAATGGCCCATCAGTCATCAGACCCCTGGTCCGTCCACTATCGCACGTCACAGTCCACTGATGGCACATCAGCCATTACAAGCCCACGTACCACCGCTTTTCCGCCCCCCGGTCGTTTGCCGCCTCATTTAGAGGCCCGGCCGACCATAGCCGCCAGCGAAGCGGAGAAAGAGAAAACGATGCTGCTAAGCGTCGCATATCACCAGGTGAGACTAGCGCGGCAAAGCTGACGTGTGCCGCAGGCGGCGTCCGGGTCCTGAAAAACATCGCACGTCATTTTACGACAGAATCATTTCAGCACTCTAATGGTCAGTGGAAGCGTTAGGTTTCCTGTCAATACCATTCCGTCCCAAAGATCGCTTTATTTTCGTCAAAAGCGACACAATTTCATCATCTAATCGTCTCGTGACAGATAATCGATCGGCGCGCGGCGGCTTACACGGTCCTCCAGTCCGCTGTAATCGCTCGCACAAGCTCCCACGCCACGGAATATCGTGACCGACATCCGTCCCAGCCGGCGCGCCTGCCCGAGTGGGCACCTGCCCGCACTCGGGCAGGCGCGCAGACGGTGAAGACCGCGCGCGTAACGCGCAACACACGTCACATGTGACAAAGATCGACAAAAACCAACGTCGCATGTCGAGCCAGACATCACAGCGAAGAGAGCACCCTTCCATTCGAAGTCTTCGCTTCGAAAACTTGACCTCGCCCACCGCATTGACGTCACCGACGTCCACGTAACGCCGGCGCCTGGGTGACGTCACAGCTGGCTGTGTGACGCCACCGCTCGAGGCCCAGCGGCGCTGTTTTGACGCGGGGAGTGCCAGTCACCCGACGGAGTCCACAGCGGCGCGGATCGATACCGGCGGCAAAAGAGGCGCGGCCGCGCCGGCTGACGCGGCGCTGACGCGGCCGGGCGCGCGGCGCGTCGATTTCGCCGCCGTCGCCGCGACCGGTGTGAAAGGCGGCGACGCTAATGACGCTAGACGCCACGTGCGTCTCCTATTCACGTCTGTTACGCTTTTTTCTTTGTTTGTTTTAATATTGCCTTGTTTGGTGAGCGCGGTGCACATATGCACGCACCGTTCTGTGGACCAACAACAGCTCGGGTGACCATGTTGGCACCAACGGACCATTGCGTCCAGCCGGATTCGAGCCCAGGCCGGCGCGTGTGAAACAGCGAGCGTGTTCGACCTCACGATATCCTGCTGATACTATTCTAGAGCATGCTCGGGAGAAGCCGGTGCATGCATAATATATGCAACACCATGAATGACAGATGACACTGAAGCGTGGGAGGCCATAACGCCAGTTAGCGGCCAGTGGGAGAGGCCGCTCGAGGTCTGGTGAGGTTGGCCACGTCCGCTCAAGGTCAGATGAGGTCAGCCACGGCCGCCTAAGGTCAGACGAGGTCAGCCACGTCCGCTCAAGGTCAGACGAGGTCAGCCACGGCCGCTCAAGGTCATATGAGGTCAGCCACGGCCGCTCAAGGTCAGACGAGGTCAGTGGACGGGGCAGGTCATCACAGCACATTACAATTTTTCCACAAAATAACGCCGTTGAGCCGCAATTTCACGGCCGGGTGGTGGGGTCAAGACACACAATGCCGTCTAGCATCAGCTCGCCCAAAATCCACTCCATCGAAAAAAAAAACAAAAACAAAAAACACAAAAAACGGATTAATTATTAACGACCTACCCAACGGCAAAACGCGTCAATATATTCAGATGCACCTCGTGAACCAGTTTCATGCAAGGGCGAGACAGGCGGCGCTTGAACGGCCGACTACGGCATCACACTGGCCAGTCAACGAATATAACAACCGTGTTGTATGCGAGGAAAACAACGCAACGCAATGGTCCAATGGGTTTCAAGTCAGCAGCGCTGTGAAATCGATGGGCCCAAGGCGTCCAGGTGATGGGTCAAAACATGCTGGCGCCTGCGGACCACTGCGTCCATCGGCACGGTGTCCCTTTTCTAAGGTTGTGGGGCGAACGGGTCGCTGCCATCCTCCTGCGATGTCCAATCCAAGCCAGACACATCCGGTGTGTGATGACGACACAGAGCGCACCCACGACTCCGTGGACCGTCACCAACGGTGTTTGGTTTATCGTGAGGCCCCGCTCTCACGAAACAACGTCACGTTGCGCACGACACGCTGTCCTGGCGTGAACAAAGATAACTCCGCTGTCCAGAACAAAGATAACTCCGCTGTCCTGAACAGAAATAACTCCGCTGTCCTGAACAAAGATAACTCCGCTGTCCTGAACAAAGATGACCCCGCCACCGGCTCCACCTGGTTGCCACTGCAGAGGCGTCAGGTAGGCTCTCATTCCAGTCCCTCGCCTGTCAGCATTGTGTGTCATTGAAGCTTTACGACGCACTCAGCTGCTGAGGCTATATGGCGTCGCCTGCCTCTCACCCTGGCAGGAAGGGCGGGCACCGCGGGAACCGAAGCCCGTATCTCCGGTTTCCCAGACGCGCAGTGATTAACGCAGACGAGGTAACCACTACACTACCGGCACCCTTGTCAACGCTGTGCATCAGGATCAATCTGGTCAGGCCAGGTCAGGCCAGGTCAGGTCAGGTCAGTCGGCTCCGGGGACGCAGCTCCGCTGAGGTATTGCATACACACCTTCCCCTCGTGACG